AAAAAATATATCTCAATATTATTGAATTTATGTTGTTATTATAGAAATATATAAATATATATATATATATATATATATATATATATATATATATAAGCCTACATTAAATATCGTGCAATTATAAAATAATTATTATGTTGATCATAACTGAAACGAAAAAGACAAATAATCCCACACGGAGTAATGATAAATACTTTTTATTGTGAATGATGTAAAAATATTTGAATTCTATCAAGTTTCTTACGTCAAGTTGTCATACAAGTCTTGCAAGTGGCGCTTGTCGGATGGTGACAGCGACGGGACTGTTGATTACTCCAGGCTTTCCCGGCATATACGAACGATAACCCCATCGAAATAATACGATATTTTCGAAATTCAAAGTAGTATCCCTTATAATGGCATTATTAAACACTAGGGTGCAGTTGTTAGTTGGTTTTTACACTGGGACCACGTAGTTTGAGAAGTTACCCGGTGGGTCCAAGTGTTACCCCCCCCCCCCAATAATAATTAAATTCTCATTTACTATAAACAATAGTCCTACATCCAGTCCTACACCCCACCTGTCGGCATTTAAACAATTGTCCTACACCCTCCCTGTTGGATTTTAAACAATAGGTTTGCAGACAGTCCTACACCCTACCTGCCGGTCTTAAAACAATAGTCCTACAGCCCACCTGCCGGTCTTAAAATAATAGTCCTACAGTCTACCTGCATTCCTACAGTCTAGCAATATTCCTAAAGACAGTCCTACGCTCTACGTGTCAGCATTTAAACAATAGTCCTACAGACAGTCCTACACCATACATTTAGGATTTAAACAATAGTCCTACAGACAGTCCTACCATAACTCCCTTTAAAAAATAGTCCTACATAAGTCCTAAACCCTACATGTCGGCTTTTAAACAATAGTCCTACATAAGTCCTACACCCTACATGTCGGCTTTTAAACAATAGTCCTACATAAGTCCTACACCCTACATGTCGGCTTTTAAACAATAGTCCTACATAAGTCCTACACCCTACATGTCGGCTTTTAAACAATAGTCCTACAGACAGTACTACACCAT